GGGGGGGGGGTTGTGCTTCTGGCGTGCACTCGGTTCATCCTCTCTGCCCTAGGAGCCTGGGATGGAGGTGGGGAGCTTCCTTCAGGGTGCAGGGACTGGCTGAGCTTCACCTCCCTAGTTATTCTTTATATTATTATCATTTAATTTAAAATAAATTAATCTTTGTTAAAGAGTATAGATGCCAGTAGATTTAAAATGAAAAATAGTAATTGGCTTCCTTCTTTGTTTCTTTCAGTTATGCTACCCAGGGTAAATCACTTTTAGCTCCTGCAGCTTTTTCTCCTGTTTTATATTGTTTCATAATGTGCTCATACTGCTGTCTCCTGATCAATTTTAGTCATTTTATTGTCTTCCTCTTAAGACATATATGTAATTACTTCTCTTAAACCTGCCTCCCCTCCTTCATTTTCCCCAAATACAATATTTTTACTTTATAGGGGCAATAAAGGTATACCAGTCATTATAATGGCTTAGATATCACTCACTACAAAGTTAAGTAGAATTCGATTTTCTTTCTTGTACAATTTTGTTTTCCCCAGAGTGAATAATTACTTCAGTTTTAGCTTGCCAAGGACATTCTCCTGCACATGGTCTCATTGGAAGACTACTTTTCCCCTGGTGCAGACCTCTCTGGAGCCTTTTGTCTTTTTGCTTCCACATGGCCACTGCACAGTCATGATCCTGATGCTGTATTTCTTCACTGGGCTAAAAGTGTGATTTATCTGGATTGCATGAGCTCTTTGTTTTTGACTTGTTCCTTGGTTTTTCTGGAGCTACTCTGCCCTTGATCCCTTGGCTTCTTAGGAAATAGAAAGGGAGTCGAATGTGTTGAGTTCTTTCATGTCCAAACATATCTCTATTCTGCTTTTATGCTAGATACTAGTTTGGCTGGATACTGTAGTTGATAATATATCCACAGACTTCTGAAGGCATTGCTCCTCTATCTTCTAGCATCTAGAATTATAATTCTGATTTTTTTTTGTACTGGAAATTGAACTCAGGACCTTGCAGTCGCCAGGCAGGCGCAGTGCCACTGAACTAAATCCCTGGCCCTATAATTCTGATTCTTGAGCTTTTGTAATTGGTCATTTTTTTTCTGGAAGTATTTAGAATCTGAAATAAAGTTGATATAAAATTTCATGATGATATATCTTGGTGTAAATTAACCTTTTTCATTGTTTTGGACATGTGATCTTTTCAATTTTGATATCTGACTAGGGAAATTTTGTTATTTCTCTGATTTCATTGCAAATTTATAATTTTATATAATTTTAAAGATCAACTTTTCTAGTTCCCAAATGTCTTTTTAAAATTTTTATTAGGGTCACATTAAAATTTTAATTTAAGGGTTGGGGATTTAGCTCAGTGGTTCCTGCGCCTGCCTCGCAAGAGCAAGGTCCTGAGTTTGATCCCCGATACCAAAAATGTTTTTTTTTTAATTTAAAGAGATTTGACATCTATATTATATTGACCCTTCCTATCTACAAGCAGGGTTATAGCTTTCTATTATTTGAAAGTTTCTTTTTAAAAAATGTATTCCAACAGTCTATAGAAGAAAATGGAGATTTCTTATTTATTCTTAGTTGCTTTTCCTTTTTTGCTGCTATTATATGAGATATTTTCTTTCATTGTATTTTCTACTTGACTTTTTGTATACAGAAAGGCTATTAATTGTTGTATATTGATTTTGCACACAGCCAATCATTCTATTCTCTTATTGCTACTAATAAGTTTCAATAGACTTTTTGTGTTTTAAAGCATGTGATCATGTCATCTGCATAATAATAAAATAATAAAAATTTGCCTTTCTTCCTCCAGTGAATGAGCTCTTCATTTCCTCCACAACACATTTTAAGTGTTTTGATGCCAGCATATAAGAAAACTATAGCCTTTCTTTCTCTTTCTTTCTTTCTTTCTTTCTTCCTTTCTTTCTTCCTCTCTTTCTTTCTTTTTCTTTCTTTCCTTTCTTTCTCTCTTTCCTTCCTTCCTTCCTTCTTCCTTCCTTCCTCTTTGTATATTTATTTTCTGTATACTGTTATAAACATTTCACACACAAATATATCCTTCTTGCAGATAAGTTACTGAATTCTCTAGTTTTTAATGTTTTTTGATTTTCAAGTATTAATTATTTCACCTGAAGTAATATATTGTTTTTACCCTGTCTCGGTTTTACCCTGCCCCCTTTAAGGTGTTACATCTTGCCCAGGCTCTCCAAAATTTGAAAACCAGAGAGAGCAGGGGTGTTTGTATCCATCTTGATTTATAAGAATGCTTCTTGTGTTTCACACAGGGTGAGATTCGCTGTGGTTCTGAGTCTTGATTAAATTGTGTTAAGTCCTAGTTTACTGAGAATTTGTTTTAAAAATAAAAAATGTCGAATTTTGTCCAATGACTGGTCGTCTAACCGCCGATAGGCCACTGTCGACGTTTATTGCTCTTTTAATGTACTCCTGAAATTACCTGCTGATATTTCATTTAGAATTTTTGCAGGAGAGAACCTAGGCAACAGGTTCATTCATGGGAAGGAATGAGTGTAAGGAAGAATGGAGGCCCGGTACCATTTCTTTCTCTAGTGGGCGGAGAGGATCATTCTTTCTGAAATTGGAGAACGCTACGAATTTTACAACAGCTAAATTTAAATTTTATTTCTAAGACGCTTGATATCCGGGTTCGGCGGCCACTGGATGGCGCACGCAACCTGCTAGACGAGAAAGACTGCGGGTGGCAGCCGGGGAGGGTAATTTTAGCGTCAAGCACTCTTCGCTTTTCATTGGCTGATTCTGAAGGAGGCCCGCCTTTCCTATCTCCTTATTGGCTATCAGCCCGAGTGGGTGTGCCTCTCCGGTCAATCCCTCCATGGAGCGCGAACTGGGGGCACCTGGGGTTCTGGGTCTCCAGAGCCGACTTCTGTGGTGGCGTGTAGTACGCTGCTAGGAGTCCCAGATGCCTCTCCAGCGCAGAAACAGGGCTGGACGAAGTTCACAATTTTCCAGGGAAACAGCCGGTCTTGGAGTGGACTTTGGGAATCAACACACTCCCAACCTGTAGAAAACGGCGGAAGCTGTGTCTTTCCTTGGGCTGGAGAAAGGATCCTTGGATACTCAGCCGTGACCCAAGCGGGACGCCGGAGGAGCGTCCTAGATGGGGAGTGAGAAGGCCATGTGGGCCGCCCCCTCCAACCCTTCAGCGGAGCTAGTCCCAGCCAGGATCTCAGCTGCAGTACCAGGCCCTCCAGGGCCTCCTAGGTGCTCAGTGTTGGAAACCTAACCTTCACTATAAAACCTAGCAGTGATTCTGGATGGGCCAGGATGTAGCAATGACACGGGAAAGGCAGAACTTATTGTCAGGTTTCTCTCATGCCCTGAGCCTAAACCTTTACTCTGAGGTTGAGATGGGGCTAGGATCCACTTTCCAATTAGACTACTGGCTGGGCTCTGCAGTCAGGCAAAGCTGCTGGCTGAGCACCGTGATCACCTCTAACTGGATGGGAACACAGGGTCTATTCCCTGCCCAGATCTACTACTTGAGTTCTGCAGTTGGGCTGGGTGCAGAATGGGTCTCAAGGTCAGGCCAAGTTTTTCTCAGGATGGTTGGGACCAACTGCTATACTCAGTTGAGGATTGTCTCCCTGTGGGAGTAGAAGCTTAGGATGGGCTTTGAGGCTTTGAGGCTGAACCAAGCCATGGTATGAACTACTGGGTGGTGTTAAGTCTGGCCCTGTGTTTTGCTAAAAGACTGTGTGGTAGGCATCTCCCTCCCTGGGTGTTTTATTTTGGGTGGGGTTTGAGGCTAAGTTGACCCATTGTTTGAATGCCCAAGTGGTACAGATCTAGCCCCTGTGATTTGACAGGAAGTGCTATGACATCTTGCTCCCTGAACAAGGTCTTAGGATCAGCTTTGAGATTGTGCTGAGCCACTGTTTGAATGATCCCTTGGCACAAGTCTTGCCTCCTGCGCTTTGCTGAAATGCTTTGTGACTCTCTTTGGGTGGGCCCTGGAATGGGGTCTGAGGCTGGCCATAGAGGCTGTGTAGAGACTTATGTCAGATTGAAATTTGCACTATGCTTTTGGGGCAACCTGTTCAGCATTGTGAGTGGGCTATACTACTGGTACCTCATAATGGGCACCTCCACTGGCCATAACACAGAGCTGCCACCAGAATCTGACACTGCTGAGAACAATGCCTCCTATCTGTTTTTGTCTGACCCCAGGCAGTGTAGCTATGCCACTGCTCCAATGGCTCCCCATGAAGTGACACCCAAGTGGGCTTCCTGAGAGTCATCTTGGAAGGCTAGGGAAGTTGGATGTCTGCCTTTAGTTCTCTTTTCTCTTGTAAATAATTGTAAGTCTGGGAAAATACTATCTTGACGGCATTTTGCCAACTTGAGGGAGGACAATGGATGATTTTTGTAAAGTGAAACCATTTCTCTTACTCTTCTAATGCAGTTTTTTTTTTAGGTACTGTGGTCCATTTGATGTCTGAGGCCTTTTCCTGAGTTTTGAGTATTTATTTATTTAACTGAGGTGCTCTTACCTGGGGACAGCTGTGAGGTGAACTTCTGTGTTTGTGGCGTTGTGGGGTGGGAGGCACTGAGACCTCTTTTTCACCATGTTGTGGGTGTCACTCCTAGCATTATTTAAAAAAATAAAAGTAGTGCTCCTTCCCATTTCTCCTCTTATTCTGAAACTTCATACTCTGTATACTGTTATCCTCTAAGTCCCATAAATATTCTTTACTCTTTCATTTTATCTTTTTATTTCTCCAACAGGATAATTAAAAATAACCTGTTTTTGAGTTAGCTCATTTTTTCTGCTTGATCTAGTCTGTTCTTGAAGCTCTTTATCAATTTATTTCACTTCTGTTATTTTATAGTGACTTTTTTTTTTGGTACTGGGGATCAAACTTGGGACCTTGCGCTTGCAAGGCAGGTGCCGGAACCACTGAGCTAAATCCCCGGCCCCTGTTATTTTATTATGTAACTCTCAATTATGTTTAGTTCCCTTTTATGATACATTTGTTGAACTTCACATTTTGTTCATGCATTTGTTTCCTGATCTTGTGTAGTTATATATCTGTGTTCTTGTGTAGCTCATTGAACCTTTATAAGATAACATTCTAGGTGGGCCAGTTGCAGTTTACAGGTGGGTAGGGCTGCTGTAAGAGGAATGTGCAGGCCAGCCAGCTGCTGAGGACAAGGGGAAGCCTGTTCTCAGGATTGTGGGCTGCTGCTGAAATCCATTGTTGACCATCTCCTGATTGTCAGAAGGGGCTGAATATGGTCCAGGTGAGTTGAAAAGTTTGATACTGAAAAATTCTAGTACTAGTATTAGTGTGAACTTATTTATTATCAAGGGTAGTGAGATCTGGGAACACTGGCTACACTTACATGTCCTGTCACCACCACAGATATATACTCATTCTCAGCTGAAGCTATGTCATAATTACTGCTGCATAACAAACACATAGGATAATGACTTGCATATGGTGAAGAATATTCTCAGTCTCCACTTCATTGCTTCTTTTCCAAATTACCCTCACATTTACCTCCGAAAGGGTTTCCTTAGGAGTCTTCCCAGAGCCCCATGCATGTCCTTGTTCCTCAGACTGTAGATGAAAGGGTTCATCATGGGAGTCACCACAGCATACATCACTGTGGCTACTGAATCCTTGAGGGAGTAGGTATGGAGGGGCTGCAGATATACCATATCAAGTGTACCATAGAAGAGGGAAACCACAGTCAAATGTGAAGCACAGGTAGAGAAAGTTTTGTACTTGTTATAGGCTGAGGGTATTCTGAGAATGGTTCTGACGATACTGATGTAGGACATGATCAGGAACCCAAAAGGAGTGAGGAAGATGAGGCAGCCTGTGGCAATTAGCATTGTGTGATTGATTTGGGTGTTGGAACACGCGAGCCTGAGTAGGACATACATCTCACAGAAGATGTAGTGAATCTTGCGAGGACCACAGAATGTCACTCTGGTCATGAGGACAGTGTGGATGAGACCATAGAAGATAGATAGGACCCAACACAAGGTGAGGAGCAGGATACAGAGCTTAGGGCTCATGGCTGTTGTGTAGTGGAGAGGGTGGCAAATGGCCACATAGCGATCATATGCCATCACAGCCAGGATGAGGTTGTCCAGGGCCACCAAGGAGACCAGGAAGTAGAGCTGGGTCAAGCACCCTGCATAGGAGATGGCTTTGTTCTGGGACTGAAGATTCACCAGCATCTTGGGGATTGTGTTGGTGCTGAAGAAGAGGTCAGTGAAGGAGAGATTGGCCAGGAAGAAGTACATGGGAGTGTGAAGGCGGGAGTCAGAGGCGATGGCCAGGATGATGAGCACATTTCCCATCAGTGTGACCAGGTACATGGACAAGAACATCCAAAACAGGATCTGTTGCTGCTCAGGAACCTCTGAAAGCCCTATGAGTAGAAATTCAGAGTTCTCACTCTGGTTGCCTCCATCCATATCCCACTTTTCTGCAATATGAGCATGAACAAGTTCTTACCAAGTGCTCTCAACTGGATAAGGACATGAAGGTAAGCAAAATCATGTTTTCTTTGCAGTAAAATTATCTTAGAGCTGGGCTCTGTCGCATAAGTCTGCAGTCCCAGCTACTCAGGAGTCTAAAGAAGAATAATAGATTGAACTCAGGAGTTCATAGATGACCTGTGCAACAGAGCAAGACTATGTCTCCCTAAAAATCTTAGACCAAATTTTATAATTTTTAAAAAACATAAGCAACAAATTAATAAATGCACAAAAACAGAACTTGGAGAGTCTTTATGCAGTGTAATCATTCCTGCAACTTCTATTCTGGCAACTTGATGTTATAGGAATAATGTCTAAGTCTTACTTTAAATTCTATTTGCTTACAAAACTCTTTAAATATTTCACAATTTTATAGTATGTTATGATATTGTATAGGTTTTAAAAATTATATTTTATGCAGGTTTATGCATTATAGGAAATGGATATAGTACAATCCACAGATTAAAAGGAATAAATGAAAATACTTGAAAGGAGTAGGAAAAATTATTTATTGATATGATGATTTATCTGGGAAAAGCAGGACAATCTACTGAAAGATTAGTAGAGATAAAAAGGAGGTTTCAGAGTACCAAAAATTAGGTCTGGGTTGTGTTTCTTGCTAATGGTGAAAACTTAGGCAGAGTCTCAAGGGTCATGGCTAGATACAAATAAGTAATAAAGTGCTTAATACAAGGAGCTGGCATACAGTCAGCACTCAACAAATATCATCCATTATTTTTATATATAACAATGATCAGAAAAATAAGGCCAAATATAATGCAAAATGATTTCTGCTATGCTACCAACAAACAAATCTGCATTAAGGTATTAACACAAACCAGGCAAGACCTTCACATTCTTCAGTGAGGTTAAAGTAAAAATTCAATAAATGGACAGATCAGATTTCAGATAGAAAGATGAAATATTGCAAAACCATATATTCTTCTAGATTAACCTGCAACGAAACCTGTTTGGTGTCATAATAATAATGGGGCTTTTAGGAAACAAAATTTAATTTTGTATAAGATGAAGCATGAAAATAAGGAAGGGCAATGTTGAAAAAGAGTACTGTAATAAGGTGACACTTGCTCTATCAAATGTCCAGGACTCTAGAATAGTGTGGTACTGATACTGGGGTGAACAGGTTGGTGGAACTTGGTAGAAACTTCATAGATAGACAACAAAACATTTAATAGGTCATTATGGTAGCAGATAAAGTTTGCATCATTTAAGAAATACCATTGGGACACTTTTGTAATTTTTTTTTGGGAACAGTTAAGTCAATATTTTATATCTTAACACATTTCAAAATAATAAGATTAAAATAACATATTGGACTCTGTTGGCTTTGAAAACCTAATGTATACAGAATAAAAATTTAAAAATTCACGAAAGAAAAAAATACATCACTTATATAGAATTCCTCTATTTGAAGATAGGTTGCCAATATTCCCCCCCTTTTGTTTTGGTACTGGGGATTGAACTTGGGTCCTTGTGCTTGTGCAGCAGGCGGGAAACCACTGAGCTAAATCCCCGGCCCCACTATTCCCCTTTTAGTAGCTATTTCAATTTGTTTTTTGTTTTTTTGGTATCGGGGATCAAACACAGGACCTTACACTTGTGAGGCAGGCACAGTGACATTGAGATAAATCCTGGGCCCAGCTTTTTTAAATTTGAAAAAATCCAGTTCTGTGGAGTCTCTATAAAAGAGTGTTGCAGTGAGAGAGCTTCATGGCAATGGTCCTGAGGTGGGAATGATCTTGTCATGTTTAAGAAACTAAATATGGTCAAGTAACCAAAAATGGTTAGAGTGAAGAGGAGATTGGTGAGATATGAGATTATCCAGGGAATGAGGGACAGGTCAAGCAGAGCCTTGTTAAGATTTAAAATTTTCTGGCCCTACCGAGGTCGCGAGTCACACGGAACACACTGAATCAGCCCGTGCCCCAGCAACAATCCACTGGACACCCCCCCCCCCACTCCTCTGTACAGCCACCTG